TCGGGCAAATCAGCATCCTGAAGCCTACTCACACAATCCTTGCTTTGGGCCCTTGTAAGTATCCCCGTATTTAGGACCCGGCTAGCCTTCTAGCTGGTCGTGCGCTCCGAAGTCAAACTGCTTCCTGCTTATTGTCCATTCCTCTGTATACAGAATAAACTGTTCCTATTACTCTGGCCTCCACCGACTTCTCTCCTAAGGAAACATGGTCTAGAAATCACAGTTGCTAGGATTCAACTCACTTACCCTCCTGCGATAAGCCATAGCACTCCTCACCCCGCCCCAAGTTCTACCATAACCGTTCTTCCACCGCCCGCCCCCTCTTCATATCGTGGCTGCCTTTGTATTTCCTTTTGCACAAATTGGCCTTAACCGGCCATTTCACTTTCTCCACTGGTGAGCGCAAGCAGGATTACCGTCCTGGGACGACAGCTGAAATCGATGACAGCTGCCCGGGCGCTTCTAAACGCACGATGATTGAGCATCCCTCCATGTCCCGGTCCTATTCGTCTGCATCGTTTTAGCCCCTATTGACCAGGGCCGTCACTACCTATAACGACTGTGAGGCACTGTACAAATCTCACCGCTGATGATAGAAACCTCTATGCTTTTGAAACGTCAGGAAAGTAAAATTTTGGTTCCCGTGATCACTTTTATCTTCTCTGGGCGTCATATTTTCAACCAAAGGATAGTCCCGGGAAATATATTTGATGAATGAGCACCACCACACATTTTGGTAGGAAAACCAGGGGTTAAATTGAAGCATGTTATAAAATATGTGCGCATTTTTCAGGCAGCTACTGGACAGCTTCCCAAAACCAGTTAAGGCGGTTTCGCTAATGGCCGGCAGACGGAGTTGCTAAAGTGAAAACATTTGAGTTCAGTAAAGTTATTTGCAATTTAAACTGTAACAAACCCTGACAGCCTCAGGGATAAAACAACGTGGGTGGAAAAGATGAGGCCGACGTGGATGATCAAACCAAGCAGTTTGTTAAATTAAAATGAACTAAATTTTTAAAAAGAACACCGGCGAGAGGAATATGCACATACGAACAGAGAATTTGCTCCAAGGCATGACATACCAATCTGTGGGCAGTCCTTGCTTGCTTCCACACATTGCTGCAGCGTCTGGAATGCGTTGCGATTGCCGCCCACCCCACCGTAAAGGAACTGTTTGCAAATTCTTGCATTCTTATCGTACCCATAAAGCCAAAAGTCTACCTCACCATATCCCTCTTCCAGGGGCATTTGGCATATGTCCTCCTCTTCCTCTGTTATAATAAAATGGGAGTTTATGAAAGCCAGCGCCGTCATGAAAGGTTAACGGACCTTATATATCATCCTGTTGGTCGGGCTTCAGATACCCATCAGACAAATACAATAATATGCAAGGCAGGGTAAAGTTAACATAATTCTAAGCAAACAATCAGTAGAAAATAGGAGGTGAGGTGTTAAGGGATGAAAGGGGTCAGAATTTCGTCATAATTATGAAGCAGAGCGGGGAAAGCGGTCCGACAATTAGTTCATGTCACCCCGTCGTCCTGGTCTCGCGTTTTGTTGGGAGGCGTGAGGATTAAAGGTGTCATCGTCTCGTGACGGTGTGGCTCGCCTGGGGATGCTTGTAGTCTCTGGCTCGTCACCGTCTCGCGTGTGGACGAATGTTTACTTGGTCTTCGGCCACGGGAGCCTTAGTGCCCGTACAAACGCTTTCTGCTTAAACTTTGTTAATTTTAACCTACCCTAATAATGTTGCATTTGCCTGATGAAAAATTAATCTAAAAAGCTCGTTCGCCTATAATGACTTCCTGAATATCCATCAGAGTTTAAGATGCGATTAAATTTTACTTATATATGTGTGCGAATGCTACAAAAGTGCGCTACCCTAAAACCATGCTTAGTATCAAATCGGCTGATTCAAATTAGCTTTGTTTCTTACCGTGAGTCGGAAATAAAAATCCGAATTTGGTTTGTGTCAACGCTGCCTTGAGATTTCCAAAGGTAATGCATGTTGTAAATGTAGCCAAAAGGCGAGCTATCACCGTTTAATAACGCCTTGTTTGAATCCCCAAAGAAGAACACAACAAGAAAAGCGCATACGGATG